CTCCACCACCATGTACGTCTTCACCAAAAACGGCGGCGGCGACCCTTTCCGAGCATAATCCATCGACCGGGGTTTTTTTTTTTCCTGGGAAAAAAAGTCGATTTGCTGACAGTGATTACGAGCTCTTGTGTGGGCCCGGCGGTGGAATCAGGCCCAGCACAATACCGTATCAACGAGCTCCGGTGTGGGTCCAACGGTGGAATCAAGCCCAGCAGGACTTCGTATTTTGGTCATCGGATTGGAATAATTTACGTGAATTTGATCAGTCGCATAACAAGGCGGAAGTTCAAAAATTGGATTTTTCTAACTTCTGTGACTCTCATATAAATATATAAAGGATTCACATTTCTCTATCCCCAATTCTTAAAAGACAAAAATAAAAAATAAAAAATCTGAAGATATGGATCAGTTAGAAGGATTGAAGTTTGAACGGAACGATTTCATCTACTTTTCGGCCAATTAAATATCACCACTTGTCTTATTGACTAACCCTCCTCGACTTTTACTTTTTTTTGGAGGGTTCATTAACACATATGTTTTCACGGAAAATGTTACGGTCTCGATCATCTCGTCGAGTGTTTTATTGTTTGATACACATATAGTTAGCATAAGATAAATAATCTAACAGTTAAAACACCCTACAAAATAGTATCATAACGAGACCATAGCATTTTCTATATTATGAGACGGTATCTTGATTTAACGGTAAAAAAATTAAAGTTGGATTTTCCCTTGTTTTGGATCGTGGCTACAGCAGTCCATGCACAATAATTATATTATTAACTAATGAAATTGAGTTATTAATTTAATCTTGATTGGAAAAGTAATAAATGTACAATACATCGTCTATTTTTTTATTCAGCAATTCTAATAGATACATGAAAGAACTAATTTATTATTAATATATTATGATTAATTTAATATATTGTATTTAAAAGTTGATATATATAGCACATATAAACATTACTCATTTTTATACACATGGATTGCCCACATGGACTA